AGAGAGATAGCAGTCTGGTGACATCACCTCCTCCTCCATCTGACGACATTAAGGCCTAGTGATTGGCCACTAGGCTGGTGGAGTGGTGCATTATGGGAGGAAGGTACATGATCCCCCATACTCTGAAGCACCGGTTATTTTGCATAGGCTGTGATGGAAAGAACGAGCAGCTAGGGAGTCACTGAGGACAATTATTAATGGGAGAGGGTGACTCCTTTACACAGACATTGCAATGACAAACCTGTCATGGCTGTTGCTTTATGTGAATAATAAACACCATTTTCACTACACCAAAGTGTGTTGGTGAAGATCCCCATTTTCTACGATTGCATGGTGCAGCCATCTACCAATTCACTAAAGTACACAGCATAAACTGTGGGAAAGCCTGAAAGGAGTGCGACGGATAAGTCTCGGTACACAGACATGGTCACTTTGTTCTGAATGGGCAAGGAATGTTGTCTCCTTTAAAAAGGGAAAGAAAAAAAAAATGGCTCTTACCTGCAGAAGTTCTGTCAAAGAGGTCAGTGCTTGTTTTCGCACAGACACAGCAGGATCTCTGCACCGTTCTTGCAGCGTGGTGAGTTCCTCCGAACTGCATGGGATCAGATTATATTTCAGTATACTAACCAGGACCTAGAAAGACAAAGAACAGCTATATTACAGCATCAGATAAAGATTCTTGCAGGCCAATTCTTGGCCATCCACTTTTCTCATGGTTGACAAAGTCCACAGTAATAGGATGATGAGGCTGGCCAAGAAGTGGCCCATTGTATATATTTCGTGTATTGAGTCAATGAAACCAATAGAGGAAACATGCCAATTATTCTCTTTCTGTGGTAATAGTCTAAAAGTGGACCCATCATTAATATTCACGCATCACATTACTAAGCATAGGCACGAGAGGAACAACCGAGAACTGGGGGGGGAAGCTTCAATCCAATAAAGGCCATTCAGCATACTTCTTGAGTGGGTTGGTCTTTTATGCTAACTTAAATTTCAGCAGAGATGAGGAATGGGGAGCGATGTCTGAAATGTACCTGGAGAGCCGACTTCCTGACATTTGTCTTCTCATCACCAGCCCTCATCCTGAGAATGTTTAGCGTCTCTCTTCCTGTAAAAAGACAAAAAAAAAAAAAGTTGTGTGAGCCAGAAGTGTGTAAAAACTCAGCTAGATCCTCTTTTAGCTAAATACACATCTACAACCAAATTGTGAACAGACACGAGAAAATGTAAAAATGCCACTTTATAGATCGCTGGTTCAGCCTCATCTGGAGTATGCGCTCCAGTTTTGGTCACCAGTCCACAGAAAAGGATGTCCTGGAGCTGGAGAAAGTCCAGAGAAGGGCAACTAAACTAAGGGGCTAGAGGACCAAAGCTATGAGACAAGGTTACTAAATTTAAACAATGTTCACGCTGGAAGTGAGGTGATTAAAAGGAGGGGGGACATAATTTTGATGTACAAAATGTTTAATGGTGATAGCAACATCAGCAATAAACTGATTACAGTAAACTCCATAACAAGGACTAGAGGCCACCATCTAAAATTGGAGAAAAGATTTAACCACAAGGGGCGTAGGGGCTCTTTTTCAGTTAGAGCGGTTAGGGCCTGGAACTGGCTGCCACATGAAGTGGTATCAGCTGAGTGTTGAATCATTCAAAAAGCATTTAGATACCTTCCTCAGAGACCATAACATACAGGGGTACAGGTACTCTTAAAAACTGGATGCCCCCAGAGATAGAGCCCCCATCGATGGATCCCCCAGAGATAGAGCCCCCATCGATGGATCCCCCAGAGATAGAGCCCCCATCGATGGATCCCCCAGAGATAGAGCCCCCATCGATGGTATATATATATAAAAAAAATATATTGAACTTGATGGACCTGGGTCTTTCTTCAACCTCAAATACTAGGTAACTATGTAAAAAATACAAAATAAAATAAAAAACCCGCAAAAGTAGCTTACCATCGGCTCCTAGCTGGTCACCAGCCTCTGATACTTCAATGGTCCGCATGACAGCAATTGTTTTTCCAGCGTGACTAGAGGCTGGAGAGAAGGATTAGTGAATCATCAAGAAATACAAAATATGCCAATAATGGTTTGACAATCACAAACAAACATCACATTTCTAAAAATGTCTCATACCGTTCACTAGACTCTCGGTGGTAAAGTGGTCACCAATTCCGGACACTGTCTGGCAGCTACCTGCAAGGTGAAAGCACGGTGAAATGTCTACACCGATGATCAGCAGAGGGAGCTGGGAGGACTAGTCAGTCAGGCCAGAGGAACAAATGTTTGAAGGTAAAAATAACACAACGGCCCCCGTTTGGAAAGTATAATGGTTTTGGGAGAGAAGCAGATTTACACATCTGTAACTACTTAGCAGTAAAATAGACCAAAACAGGTAATAGCTCACCATTGGCTCCGGGATGGTCAGCGGCCTCTGATACCTCAATGGTCCGGGTGACACCAATTGTTTTTCGGGAATGACTAGAGGCTGGAGAGAAGGATTAGTGAATTAGCATTAGAAAAATGAATAAATTATAAAGTCTGTAGAAAATAGTTTGACAAATCACAATTCTAAAAAAATAAAATAAATAATAATTCTGTAGACAATTCTTTGACAATCACAAATAAACATCACAATTCTAAAAAAAAAAAAAAAAAAAAAAAAGGCTTAATTTCTCACCTTCTGTGCCATTCACTAGGCTCAGTGGTAAAGTGTTCCAGACACCCGGCACTGTCTGGGACCAGCTGCACAGCAAAAACTTCCCCTATTCCAAGATAATACTTTCCTCCCTACCCACAAAGATGGATATACCAAACCATATAACCCAGCAGATCCAACACAAGCTTGGAGATCATTTAGCTGCCAGTCCTAACATTTATCTGGAACCACAGCCTCCCATAAATGCCTCAACACCCCAACAAAACAAGGGAGATTAAAGACACTTTGCTTAACAGAGCTCTTAACCCTAAATCTGACGCTCATCAGACCAACAATAAAAGTTAAAACCTTAAACTAAAAACAGCAACAAAACACTCAACTCAAAAACAGGGCCACACACATGGCAGGAATGGAGGGAACCATTTGCCCAATATGGACATCGAAAGCACCACAAAGACATGGACAAGATATGGACCCATCTTAGCACATTATCCAATAAACTAATGAGACCAAACTAAAAAGCAACACATAGGAGGTGCCAATCATCTATAATAGGATTTGTGCCGTGTAATTTTTAAATTTCAAGGTCTATAAAATCACAAAACTATCACTATTTATCAGTAGCTGGAATATTCAGGGTTCAGACTTTGGGTCCAAAGTAATAGATCCAGGCAAACAAAAGACTGCATGACAGCCTACATCTGCCTGCACTGTATGCAGCATACATTGCCCCAACAGAGTCCCCATACTTCAGACCAGACACTTGCTGAGGTTTTACAAAGCAAGGCCCCCCCACTTCCAGTCCCTAGGACAAGTGCTCATCTACCGAGACCTCAACGCCAGAACAGGAAGAGAAAAGGACTATGTAACCGGTATTTGCAGATCCCCAGATGTATGTGTTTCCATTGAGAGTCATGAGTCAATACAGACACAAGGACATAGGACAGTACAACCAACAAGAGTGGAAGAAATCTACTGACTGAGTCTACACACATGTAATTATTGCCCCCATTCATATATATTTCAAATCGTACAAATTATCAACAAATGCCAAGAAAACCTTGGGATGACCTATATATATTATATACTTACTGCCCAGCAGCAGTTCTTGAACCCCTTCAGAGATGGCGTTCTTCTCCAGGAACTGTGCCAAGCAGGAGAGGGCTTTGCTGCGGACGGTAGGCGCCTTGTCCGAACAACGACTGAACATGACAGTCTGGATCAAGAACTTGTGCTGAAGAAATTTTAGGTCGTCTTGAGGGAAGGAAGGGTCTGCGGCTCTCTCTGGCAGCTCCAGCAGAGCGGCTGCCGCATCAAGAGCGAACACTCTGTAGGAAATCTAAGGGAGTACAACATGGAGGCATCAAAGTAAGTTTGTAGTCTACAGCTCTAATGAAGTGACTTTGAACCTCCAGGTATCTAAAAGTGCCTCAGAACCTCCTAAACCTGGAGTGTCACATAAGTACCACATAACTAGGAACTGGATGTCATTTCCTTCCCACTGCAGAACCCCATGCCTTGCTATTGGCTTGAGAGCCAAGACAAAGCTCCATCTGCATAGCGGAAATCAATATTATTGCATCGGACTAGCTTAAATTTAGGCTCCCATGGTGCTTTGCAAGGAATCGTGACATATCAGCAAGTAGCTAGCAATTCAGAGATGAGACAGTGAAGTAAATCCTGGTGCTTGGGCAGTTTTTGGCTATGTTCACAAGTGTCTGACAAAGAGCAGCCCCTGCCACAGCCTCTCACCCTGCGACTTGCTACAAAGTTACAATACTGCAATCGGATCACTGAAGTAAAAGGAGACTGAGGAAATGCTTCCTCTTGCTTGCAGGACACCGATGACAACTTGCATAGGACAAAGTTAATGGACTGTGGAGGTCAAGGACAGCCTTTTAAAGGGGAACCCAACTCATTAATTTAACTATCTCACAGAACAGTTACTTTTATGGCATGCCAACTGTCAAGGTTCCCAACGTGCTTATTTCTTGGCTGTCATTTCAAACCCTCAAATGGCTGGTGCCACAGCTGATCACATGTGCAGCACAATGGCATCTGTAACCCAAATAAAAAGGAGAGGAAACCTTCTTTGGCTCTAATGGATAGAAGAGTTAAAAAGGTAAAACAAATATTTTAAAAAAAAAGGTAGAACTACAGCATCTCATATAAAACAAGTGTGTACTGTAGCACTTAATTATAAGTCCATCTGCACCTTTCTCCTGGCCCCCTGACAAAGTCCCCAAAAATATACTTGTTGATCCTGCGAGTGAAATCCACCTAATGTACCTTCCCTTGATGGGATAGCAACAATGCTACGCTGCTGCTGAATTCAGAGCAGAGTTGTCACTCATGTAGGCTTGCTTGCACTGCAGTGGGATGAAAAGATGTTACAGGGGCTGTGACCACCAACTTGGCCCTCCTTATGCATAAGCTTGTAAATGAGCCCCTAGTCCCCCCCCCCCCCCCCCCCCCCCGCTCTGCCGCGTCTGCACTCAGCTTTCTGGATTGACATCTCTGCCTCTGTTGCTGAAACCCTCCCAGCGTGAGCTGTAGTGTACGTGGTCAGCAACAGGTGGTACGTGTCAAAGTAACAACCATATGAATGGCCGGACCCAAGGTTTCCCAGCAGAACATTGATCAAATCATCATACTGCACTACACCTCTCAGTGGTCATAATGTTATAGCTAATCGGTGTATAGTAACTGTATTTGGTACTTTAGATTGTACAGAAGCCTCTAGTAGTACTTTAAATGTACTTGGCTATAATATATACACAGAAAAGAAAGGCAGGGAGGAAGAAGCTGTAGTCATTACAGTTAATACAGCATTTTCTTATGTTACCTTTGAGTTCCTGGAGAATTTGTACAGCCACTCTATGAATGATGCGTATTCTGCATTAGGAAGGCGGTCTTGTAGTTTCACCAGAGTTTGCGCGGCTGACAGGCGATAATCTGACTTATCAGGACACTGTTGAATGCAAAACAAAAAACAGATGAATGCAATGGTGGCATTGCACTAGATCAGGGGTAGGCAACCTTGGCTCCCCAGCTTTGCTGAAACTACAAATCCCATAAGGCACTGCAAGATTCTCACAGCCACAGACATGACTCCTGGAGAGAGATGCATCATGGGATTTGTAGTTTCAGCACAGCTGGAGAGCCAGGGTTGCCTACCCCTGCACTAGATGAAATGATATGCCGTATTATTGTAGAGGCAGATCAATAATACGTTTTTAAAGCCCAATAGGACTTTTTAGCAAAAAAGAAAAATTATATAGACCCATTAAATACATTTCAGGTTCACCAAAATAACAAAAGGTGTGCAAACTCTTATAGTTCATTTTCTTTAGAAAACTGCTAAAAAAAGGAGGAAAGAAAGCCTGCGCCCTGCCAGCATGCTGCAGGGAAGGACCCTTGTCTCCGTCAGTAGTCTTTGTACAGAGGTCTGACACCCTCTGCTAGACAAAGCTAACCACTAGTGAGTAGGATCTCTGCTGACTGCAGAGTTATAGGCCTGGTGCAGCAGGGAGTGTGTGTGTGTTGGACTTCTGCTTCCATTCAGAGAGCATAGGTCTTTTCGCTACAGTATGTTGGAATGGAACAGACTTTTCTACTCACAATGTGGCTGCTTTCTAAAGAAAATTAAAGTGACATTAAAGTCAAAAATCTTTTTCCCTCCCCCCAATGTTAGTGTAAGGACTTACCTTAAATTAGGTTTCTTAATCCGATCTTTCCTTTTCATCTGTCTTTCCAGTGCTGCTGCGGGTCTCCGATCCAGCGCTGACTTCTCTGAGCTTGCTGGCACTTCCTGTGCCACGGTGTCTGCATGCGGGTGCACGCGTCCATAGACTTACCTTGCGTCTCTCCTCATCTCCCGGCCGAAAATGTGAACTGCGCATGCGCCCGCCACAAGATGCTATGCGGCCACCTGAGAATTTTCACATTTTCGGACAGGAGTGCGCGGGGAAGACACAGGTTAAGTATTAACCCTTTTCAAAGCGGGTTCTCTTTTTTTTTTTTACACTTTTTTGCATCTATCTACTGCTTGATAGCAATATATATATGCAAAGAAGCCGGAGGGTTTAATAACCCTTTAACTAAGATTTTGGACAACTCTTGTTTTGATGCAGCTGGAATGTATATTTCACCAAATTAAACTGAAAGTTCATGTGGGCTTCAAAGCCCATTAATGAATGCAGGTATAAAATGCAGAGGTAAACTATGAAAATAATCTATGTGCGCAAAGTGAGAGGTCACACCTAACTAGCTCCTTGCTTAGATGTTATCACTTGCTTAATGTATTGCGCTAGCACCATGTTAAAAAAAAAAAAACACATGCAAGCTTAAAGTGACATTGAACCCTCAGATTTTTTTAACATAGAACAATACTGTAATGTGTGCCTTACTGTAATCCATGGTAGTTTCCCTTCTCTTTGCTGCTCTTCCTTTTAAATCCATATCTCTTCTCATGCTTGGGGAGAACTTCCCTTTGCAGCTGAGTGCCTCTTCCTGTAGTGCTGGCTCAGGTTGTGAACCTACACACAGACACCATGTATCCATTTCAGAGACAAGGCAGTCTGCTGCAAAACAGAAGTTCTGCCCAGCATGAGAAGAGATACAGATTTAAAAAGGAAGAGCAGCAAAGAGAAGGGAAACAACCATGGATTACAGTAAGGCGCACATTACAGTATTGTTTTATGTTAAAAAATCTGAGGGTTTAATGTCACTTTAATTGACTGTGCAAGCTGCAGTAACCTACAGCATTGTATATCTGGTATCTAGCAAAATATAGGTCTTATAGTTGTGGGTTACGTAGCTGTAAAAATCCAAATCAGGCATTACCTTGGCACAATTGTGTTGTAATAGAATGTATAGAACAGGAAGAGCGATTTCCTTCAGCTTGTCCACAAGGAAACTGTTAAGACATATACAGGAGTTATAAACAAGGGTAAAAATAAAAAATCATCCTCACACGACACCAAGATGGTTGAAAATCTATACAACTAAAAGCAGACATGGCTTAATTTAAATAACCATGTACAAAATGTACAGGCAAGTCCTATAGTTATATAGCACCAGGAAGTTCTCGCCACCTCTGGCGCTGGTCACATGATCTAAGCAGAATGGGGAGGATTGTTTAGACAGAACCGCCAATTGGCCTAATATTCCCCTTTATGATTCAGGAACAATGCAAGCACCATTGGTCACATGACTTGGCTGGCTGAAGAAGTAAAGGGTTCCTGGGATTAGGTATTTGTGTACATATTTAGTACTAAAAGCAGGTTTTTGCTATCATTTCTAAGAGACAGAGTATCGATTGCTAAAATAATGTGAATCTTGAACTAAAAATCGGCATTAATTCATACCAGACAAACGCAACAGCGTGGTCCCTTGCACTGGTCACGGGAGCGTTGATTGCAAGCAAGGAAGTGTTTGAACCTGGCCCTCCTTTAACCATCAGAATGACACTCAGCAGACGTTGGAAAAGCCAGCGAAGAGTCTACAAGTAGGAGAGAGGAGACATAAGGGGACAAGTTGGAAAATGGCATATGTCAATTCCTGTGCCTAGCTACTGACAGCAATAGAAGTATCTGTGATAGAAGAGAACATTGCACATCACGTTGACAGACAGCTATCTATATCACTTTAGTTGCCACTTGTGAATGTCTTAGCCCTTAACCTTCCCCTAACACAACATCTAAAGCCGACTTTAATAAACCCTGCGTCTCTCTCTCTCTCTCTCTCTCTCTTCCACTTTGTGACCGATCACAGACAGCTAGAGGATTACACTTTCATTCTTTACCATGTATGCTGAACATCAACATTAGCTTTAGAGTCACTTTAAGGGTCTGAGTGAAAACGCATGGAACGCACCTGATTGCCTTCACCATGGCTGGGCTGACACAACAACCACAGCCCATGATATGCCAACTCCGGCACATAGTTCAAGCGGTTGACACTGCTACAAGAGGGAGAGAAAATATCAGTGTTAGATGCATCTGAGAGTAATACCATCACAACATGCAAAAATCAAATCCAAAACCTAATAGAAGTGATGTCGCTCCAAATAAATGTGTCCTTTCATAGAACCCATGAGGCAGGGTGCTGTGACACGTACAGGAGCCTGCTGATCCCATCCACCAAACCATTTTACTACAGAGCAAAGACCAGCAGATAGTCCAAAATGATTTAAGTCACTGGCGTGCAAAAAATAATAATACTAATACATATATGTATTAGTATAATACATATATTGTATAAGCATGTGAAAATTATTATTATACAGGATTTATATAGCACCAACAATTTGCTCAGCGCTTTACAAAATAGTGGAGACAGCACAATACAGTTTCAGAACAATAGGGTTGGGAGGGCCCTGCTCGTGAGAGCTTACCATCTGGTAAGATTACACAGACATCCTGTTCCTGAACTGTTTACAGCATTCCCATCAGGACTTGCCTACAAAACGTGGCTATAGTCAGCTTTGGTCAAACTAAAAATAAATCTGTATTTCTATATTGAATTTCCACAAGTTCTATCCCACGCCTAATAACCAGATCCATCTAGAAGTTTGTAAACATTGAAGATGCCCATAGGATGTACTTCCTCAATGCACTGGACACCATTTTACTCCCTGGGAATATGCATTTCCTAGTGGCACTACTCGCAGAGCCTGCCCTCTGAACTACAACTCAGCGTCTGAACAGTGTATCATCATCATTGCTTGCTGGAAGCAATGCATGATGGGATATGTGGCCTTGATAAATGGAGATTGCATCATATCAAGCAGCAGGGAAAGACGCAAAGCACACTGGGAGTCCAGGAAGTTGATGAAAGTGATGGGCAGATGGAAGGCAGCGCTCACTACATAAAAGGGATTTTTTTCTAGTAAGCTTTGATTGTATTATCAGAGACAACTCCTCCAGTATGTATTCTAAGGATGCACCGAAACCGATTTGTATCGATCGAGTATTTGGGCGAGTACTCTTACTCGCCCAAATCCTACAATTCTAACCAGCGATTCCGGAGCTTCCTCTGACCGGCAGTGTTGCGAGGGAACATGGAGTCGGCTTTTCTGATTGGTCGGCTTAATGCCGATTGGCAAGGAAGCCGGCTTCCTGGCCAATTAGCTTAGAGCCGGTCAAACAGCATGCAGCTGGCTTCCCAAGCAATCAAGAAGCTAGGCGGCGGGTAATGACACACTGCCCTGCTACTGATTCCTGATTGGCCAGGAAGCCATCTCCATGCTAATGGCACACCGGCCGGCTCCATGCTAGCGGAAGTACCAGTATCGGTGAGTGCAGAAAGATAAATATCGGTACTCGATACAGAAAAATACGGTATTGATGCATCCCTAATGTATTCCTATTACAGTGCTGATGTTATAACAGGAGAGTATTTGCTGGGACTTTACAGCCTCCACTCCTAGCTACTCATCTAAGCCTTGTACCAAAACAGTCCTGAATAATAGTGCAAGATTAACTCACATGGATTCCGAAAACGACAGCTGCTGGGGAATCGTCTCAAAACTAGTCAGGTTTATAAAGATCTAAAGAAAAAAAAAAGTGATTTTGGTTACGAGTTGCCTAAAGGTTATAATTTTTAGAATGCATTCCTCTGTAGGAGACAAAGGAAATAAGAGCTCGACTGAAATTCTGCTGCACATTTTATGGTAGGCAATTACCATTTTCGGTAATTAATACTGATGGATTCCCAGGGTCATAACACTTGCTGGCAAGTGAGCTTAAAGAACATGTAGGGAAAAAAAAAAAAAAGAGAACTATGAGGGGAGTGCTTTTCACTCACCTCATAGTTCTAGCCGACCTGTGACAATGAGACTGTCACAGGTCGGCTCAGTAGATCGGGAGGTGAGCGAACACATACCAGCGTTCGCTCACCTCTCGATCCTGTCACGGCTCTCTGCCGTGACAGGGGAGGGGCTGGATTCCCCCCTCCCCGCCAGCGCTGACTGGCGGAACGGACGGGGGAGGGTACAGCTGGCTCTGCCTCTAGATAGGCAGAGCCAGCTGTCAGTCACGCAGCTGGGCGGATCCCGGCACAATTGTCGGGATCCGCTTCAGCGTCTCAGTATACCGCGAGCAACAGCTTGCGGTATACTGAGCCTAGGGTGACGGGAGGACGCTAGTTTGTGTCCTCCCGTTATCCGGAGAACTATGGGGAAAAGCCTTAACCCCATAGTTCTCCTTTAATCATTAACCCTTGCAGTGGGGCTAACCTGCAAAGGTTAACTACTCTTTCTCGTCTAGGGACTATAAATAAAAAGTTATAGTCAGCCGATTCCTGTGAGCTGGCTTGTTGTTAGGCCGGTCCTTCCAGCCTCTCTCCCCCTCCAGTGCAGCAGTCTTAGATCCGAGTCATCATGTTCTATACAGAGTGTATTGGTGGTCAAGGGACATAGCATCGCGTAGGAGACAGGCTGGAAGGAGTGCTGCGAGCCACTCTGAGGTTTGGGTGAGTAGAACTAGACTAACAAGCAGTTAACCCTTGCAGTGTGGGGGTAGCCCCACGGCAAGGGTTAATAACGTTTTTTTTCCCCTGGAGTTTAAAAACTATCTTGACAAGCAACACTACTTCCAGCAAGAGCACAAGTGCCGTTACTTTCCTGACCTGTGGGACCATCAACCAGACAAGCTAATGTGTCTTTATTCAATGCGACTTCCTTGTAGCGGAGTCAAGCCAAGCTGACCTGATGGCACGCTCACCTGCATGCAGTGCAGCATGCTCTGCTGCTTGTCCTTCAGGGAGAACTTTGGCAGGAGACGCAAAAAGTTTTTCAACAGAAGGACGATGGCATCTCTGATGTTCATGAGATCTCTGGTAGAGAAATAGACCTCATTTTCCGCTTCATCTTCGGATAGATCTTCCAGCTTATATAGAACACAAAGAAGGAAGATCATCAGTACTTAAGATACAGCTTTTTTTTTTTTTTACTTTATTTGTACCTGGTGGCCCCGCCAGTAGCACACTTCCTTGTCTGTGGTGACAACACTTGCTAACCGTATTCTATCTATAGAGGTGATGACTTGACATAGTAGGACAGAAGTGTCCTAAGATCACCGCCCCATCTCCTCACCCCCCTGGTCAGACCCAGCACAGCCTCCTGAGACGCCACACAGCCCTGGTGAGCAACAGACTATTATTCTGCATTGTTGGGATTTGTAGTGGCAGAACGACTAGGGTCGCAGTGGTTGTAGATGTGACTGGGCCCTGGTGCTCCACCACGGTCCTAAAATTATCAGTCTGTATTGTTTAATAAAAACTGTCACATGACAAAAAAACAAAATGATATGTGACCTGTGACAGGCCTCTTCCCCTCCCAATCACAAAGCTCTCAGAGAAAACTCCATTGGACACTGCAGGCTCTACACCTCCTCCTGCATTATATGCAAATTATGTAAAACGCAGGCGGCAGCAGCATGGAGCATCATTATAGTGTTCCGTGTAGAGCAAATCGAGGGATCCACTGTGCACTGTATATACCCCAAGACTATACTAGAAAATACTTTTTCATCTGTGAGTGGCTACAAGTACTCTATGGCGTAAGGACCAGGCTAAGCATTTTAACATGAGCCCCATCAGCAGCGTTACCTCTTCCTCGCCCCTCCGCACAGGCCTGGGACGTTTTCTGCCTCCGCGATTGTCCCCCTGAGAGCTTTTCATGTTGTCCTTTTTCCGTTTGCGGCTGGAGTCTGGATCCTGCGGCCAACACTTTTCCAGGGTGTTCATGCATTTCTCAAACAAGACGGGGTGAAACACCTGATTGGCGACACTGCCTGTCATTTGAAATACAAACAGACTTGGATGAGTAAAAGTTTGCTGTAATGCCACACAGAGCTGAGGACCCTCCTGCCACCTCCATGACATTCTGGGGCCAATCAACAAGCAGCAGCCCTACCATATGATTGTGAAATAAGTCACATGCTCCACCATACCCGAAAACACTGGGTATTCTCTTCTGACTGCTGAACGGAGCGGCAGCGGATCAAAAGAAGAGTTTGGGCTGGTAGGCAGGGCGACATGGCACAGTACAGGTTCTCTTTAGGTGAAGGCACCGAAAGGTGGCAACAGGCACTTCTACCATAAACCGAAAATACATTTTGATGTGCCTAGAAATCCCTTCTGATCCTAGGTGACTAATGAACGACATCCTCCGCTTTTCATATAGGGAGCTGTGTACTTGCTAACTGAGCATCAGACACTTACCGGGTATCTGCAGGAGCAGGAAGTACAGGCCAGCTGCGTGCAGGGCCATAGACTTTTGCATAAACCCCGACTTCTTATTCTCTCCAACGTGGACAAAATGGTAGAGCACAGCCACCAGGGAGTTACGGCAAATGTCATTCTCTGCAAACAGCGCCCAGATGCTCTACAAAACAAACAGACATTTATACAGTGAGGTGCTTTGCATCCCAATACCTCTGCATATGTACAGATTTGAACTTCAGCTTCAAAACACCAGATCACTGACCAAGAACAAGTATGCAGATAAGAACTTCTGATAAGCAGGGTCATTTTATTTAAATTCAATTTCTTAAAACCATTTTTTTTTTTACACTTAACTTTATTGCTCTCACATCGCCTACATCTGTGGCAGCGAAAGGGTTAAAGCTTCAACAATGCTTGCCGAACGCTCAATGTTCACACTACTCGAAAGGTGCCCATACACTTTACGACCCTCGCAAGACTTTTGTCTTGCGAGGGTTGTAAAGTATTTAAAAAAACGTACGATCTGCCCATCTTGGACAGGCAGATCGTACTTGTATCGGGGGCGGGCTTCCGATGACCGCAATGCTGAACGGGCAGTGTGCGTACACCGGCCCGTTCGGCAGTGATCTCTCGATCATGTTAAAAACCAGCCGAAAATCATACGATTCTCGGCTGGTTTTCCAACATACTCGATATGCAAAAGACGTGTGACCGTACATTATAAACGGTCGCACGCCTTCCATACACTGCACGATTCGTACGAGAATCGTGCAGTGTATGGCCACCTTTAGAAAAGCTAAAACCTGTGTGAACGAAGCCTCGCTGTGAGAATATCACAATCATTGAGATCGCCCCCATCATTTGCAGGCAGGCTCTCCTACCAGCGGCCACATCCCATCTGATATGGCTGCAGGTCCTTCATAGAATGTCAGGACGTGGACGAGAAAGACTGCGACAAGGCCGGCAAGAAGAGCGGACATGGGGTACCGGCCGTCACTACTGGAACCAGAGGGGATGAAGATCTTGGGAACTTTTAATAATGTAAAGAGCTTGGTGCCAAATTATTCACGTTAAGGTCACTGCAAAAGGACAAGGGGGCACTCTTTGTAGATTGTTGATCCCCGGAATATCTGATTGCCTTATGGAATCAGGAAGGAATTTTTTCCCCTGTTGGAGCAAATTGAACCGTGCTTTATAGGGTTTTTTTTTGCCTTCCTCTGAATCAACAGGGTGTAATTGTGGGCATAGTGTTCTGTTTAGGCTTTTCTTTCTTTTCTTTGCATCTCTATAGGTTGGACTCGATGGACTTGTGTCTTTTTTCAACCTGACTATGTAAACATCATTCCTTGTTATTCCATCCCCCCCAGACCATGGGTAGGCAAATGCCGGCCCTCCAGCCACAACAAATCCCATTAGCCATTGCAAGACTGACAGCCACAGGCTTGACCCAGATGGGCACGATGGGATTTGTAGATTCAACACAGCTGAAGGGCTGTCGTTTGCCTTAGACAAACGAGTATTGGAAGCTTAAAAGGAGAACTATGAGGCGAGTGAAAATCATTCATCCTCATAGTTCGAGCCGACGTGTGACAATGAGACTGTCACAGGCCGGCTCAATAGATCTGGAAGTGAGAGAGCACATAGCGTCGCTCACTTCTCGATCATCTCCCTGCAGAGAGCCGTGACCGTCACTCACCGCTCCCCGTAGGGATCTCGACAGTATTGTCAGGATCCGTCCAGGCTGCGGCGGTCTCAGTATACCACGAGCTGTAGCTCACGATATACTGAGCTTTGGGTCACGGGAGGAGGTTAGTATATGTCCTCCTGTGACACTTAAGAGAAGTATGGGGGAAAAACACTGACCCCATAGTTCTCTTATAATCCTCTGGGGAGGGGCAACATTTATATTTTTTTCCTGCCCATGGTTAGGCATCAAAACAAGCTTTCACTGACCTCCATAGCAGCAAGCACTGTGGAGTAACTGATCCTCAAACTGCAGCTGAAGCTTCTCAGTTTTACTTTTCTCTCTCTAGCTCAGCTTCCCCCTCCCAGAAGTGACTTAGCAGCCCGCCAGCCTTCTCCGCCAGCACAGGTCAGAGTGCCAAGACCTGACTTGAACAACCTTCACTGCTCCTCTAGCACACTTTGACAATGCATTGATCCACGTTGCCTGAGCCTACAGAGGTCAGTGGGGGCTTTTGTTAAAGTGTTTTTACTGCTTGTTATGAATTTCTATATCCCTAGTCTGGCTTCACATACAGTACACAACTCACCCGCATGTTCTCCTGATCGGCAGAAGCAAACGGCAGCAGGCCATCATACAGGTTGGTAAACGCCTCCACTCCGATCTCCAGGATTTCAGCCTCCACCCTGGGATCCAGAGGCTCCGCCTCTGTGAATTCCAGCTCCCAGACAGAATCCACCCATGCTGAAAGCAGAAGATAAAATCAGGAGATTTACTGCAAACGTTAAAACCCCCCCCAAATTATGCAAATATTTTCTATGGGCTCCTCCCTTCCTATGGGCACAGGGAAGAATGTGCCAGGCTCGTCATACACAGACATTGTTTTATGAAGCAACACAGGTTAACATTGCTGACCTGTCTGAAAATGCTAGCTGCCTGGCTTTCTTATGCTTTGCTACCTTAGGAGTCGCTGAGCTGAAACCAGCATGGTAGAGGAGGGGGGACCCCCCCACATGCTGTGACTGGGAGCACGAGGTGGGGACCCACCACATGCTGTGACTAGGGGCAGAGTAGTAGGGACCCCCACATGCTGGGAGCAGGAGGGGGGACCCCCACATGCTGGGAGCAGGAGGGCGGGACCCCCACATGCTGGGAGCAGGAGGGCGGGACCCCCACATGCTGGGAGCAGGAGGGCGGGACCCCCACATGCTGGGAGCAGGAAACCCCCACATGCTGGTAGCAGGAGGGGGGGACCCCCACATGCTGGGGCTGGGAGGAGGGGGGGGCCCCCACATGCTGGGGCTGGAGGCAGAGGAGTGTGGGACTACCACATGCAGGCACTGGAAGCAGAGGAGTGGGGGACCCCCTACATGTTGGGGCTGGAAGCAGAGGAGTGGGGGACCCCCCACATGTTGGGGCTGGAAGCACATGCCTACCTCTCCTCAGGCTCCGCAGCCCAAAGCGGCCCAGGGCCTCCAGCACCACCGCCTCCTTGTCAGCCATCAGCTGGTCTTCTTCACTGTCTCCTCTCCTTCGTTAGGCGGACAGCGCCAAAACAAGAAAACAAACCCACCAATCGGCGAGCTTTTTTCTTCGACGTCACCAGTAAGCGCCTGTATGCCGCCCTGAGCCCTCAGTCGCCATGATACGATTGGACAGTCCCCCTTTCACGCACGACAGCTGCCAGTAAGTAATATGGAGGCAGCTGGATGACGTCACGACGTCGGAGCTCCGCATACGTCTTATCTCCGTTCTTTGGCGTCCATGCTTGCGCCTGGCAAGTCGGTCTTCTCACGCATGCGCACCATGCCGCTCCGTTAGCCTTTGCAGGGTCGGCGCATGTGCAGTGTAAGAAGCAGGCAGCAGCGGAGAGCAGGGGGGCTCCGGGGGGAAATCGGTGCAGAGCTGTCAGTCTCCTGATCGCCGGTACCGGACTCCGCCATGAGCTTCTTCGGCTTTGGCCCGTCCGCGGAGCTTGACATCACCCTGAGTGACGCGGAGAGCCGCCGGCGGGTGGAGCACAAGACGGAGGACGGCAAGAAGGAGAAATATTTTCTCTTCTACGATGGTGAGACCGTGTCCGGCCGGGTCACCGTCAACCTGAGGAGCCCAGGCAAGAGGCTGGAGCACCAGGGGCTGAAGATCGAATTCATCGGCCAGATTGGTGAGATGGGGTGTGGGGCGAGCGGCGTCGGCCGATGGGTGGAACCATGGCGCTGGCGATTGCTCTTCGGCAAGCTGGTGTCGTAAATAGGTGCGATTTCCCTGGCTAAGCGTACATGTTTATACTGTACGGCGAGATCCCCGACGTTGGCAATATCAGATCGGAAAATCCATACTGTAAAATCGATTCTTCCCCATCGGCATGGGCAATAGTTAGGGTCATGGTGCCCTGTAGACGTATAACAGCGTGCAGAAGAGCTGACGATCGTTCCGTGTTGGGCTTTTGGCTTCATAGTGCCAATAGATCTAAATCGGCAAATGGAAGAGCTGACGATCGTTCTCCATGGGGATTGTGGCGGCATGGTGAGCGGACGATCCTTCTCCATGAAGCTTGTGGCGGCATGGTGAGCAGACAATCATTCTCCATGGAGCTTGTGGCTTCATGGTGAGCTGACGATCGTTCTCCACGGAGCTTGTGGCGGCATGGTGAGCAGACAATCGATATCCATGGAGCTTGTGGCTTCATGGTGAGCTGAGGATCGTTCTCCATGGAGCTTGTGGCTTCGTGGTGAGCTGACGATTGTTCTCCATGGAGCTTGTGGCTTCATGGTGAGCTTAGGATCGTTCTCCATGGAGCTTGTGGCCGTATGGTGCCCATAGACATACAGTATATGTGTGTTCGGAAGAGCTGACAATCGTTCTCTGTTGGGATGGGGGCATCAGTGCTCATAGACATAAATCGGCAAATGGAAAGGCTGACGATCGTTCTTCATGGAGCTTGTGGCGGCAAGGTGAGCCGACCATCATTTTCCATTTAGCTATGTTGGCCATAGCCATAAATGTGTATTGAGAAGAGCTGACGATCATTCTGTGTTGGGCTTGTGGCGTCATGGTGCTTATAGATGTAAATCGGTGCCGAGAAGGACTACTGATCATTTTATGTTGAGCTTGTGGCGGCATGGTGACTGTAGATGTAATTGGGGCCCGAAGAGTTGGCGGTCAATCGGCTTTGTTTGTGGAATCATTGGGCTTATAATGGTGAATTGGCCCCCAGGAGCTGACGATCGTTTTGAACATGTGACATCGTGGTACCTGTAGATGTAAATCGGCATCTGGGAGATCTGATGATTATTCTGTGCTGAGTTTATGGCGCCATGATGCCTGTAGACGAAATGGGCGAGTGGAAAAGCTGACGATCGTTCTCTGTTGGGCTTGTGGCATAACGGTGCCCATAGACATAAATTTGCATGCGGAAGTGCTGACGATCGTTTTGCGCTGAGCTTGTGACATGGTACCTGTAAATTGTAGACATGGCACCAGCACACCAGTCCTTTTAGGATAGCGAAGGCTTCATTTATTGAAGTTCTTTGTCATATGAACAAGCGCTTTCGGGACCACACAGGGTTCCTTCATCAGGCTTTATCCTGATCAACATTGCAATGAGATTTGTAAATAAAACCTTTCTGTTTGTTTCAATCAATGAAAGGGGTGGAGCCAGGGAAAGTCAGGCTGGGGAGGAAAGTCTACATGGTGCTGGACGTCCTCCAGCCAGGAAATGAGGCAGGCTCTATCTGACTTGCTGCACCTTGTAGAAGAAGAGAAGCTCATAGCATGCAATGACATCAGGGTAAGAGTAGGGGAGCCGGTACAACTGTGCAAGTCTGAAGGGAAGGTCGGAGGTTAGATACAAGACTGAAGGGAAGGATGGAGGTCAGATAGAAGACTGAAGGGGAGGAGGGAGGTCAGATGCAAGACTGAAGGGGAGGAGGGAGGTCAGATGCAAGACTGAAGGGGAGGTCAGATGGAAGACTGAAGGGAAGGTCAGAAGGAAGACTGGAGGGAAGGATGGAGGTCAGATCGAAGGCTTAAGGGAAGGCCGGAGGTCACCTTTTAAATGGTAGCATTTCTTTCTAGCTAACATCTGTCATGGAGGATCGCCATGGTAACTGCATCACTCATTCTTCTTCCTCATACGTGCGGTCGGTACGGGTAGCATGTATGCCGTGTATAAAATGGGTCGCAGAGCCGCACGCCGGGAACTCGGATTGCTGCGTTATTGTGTGTCTTAGTCATCAATTTGATTTGGGTTTCTTTTGTACCGTCTGAGTCACCTACATACCTGTCACAGCGCTCGCTCGCCCGCACGCCGCCTGAACTTCTCTTTTGTTTTTTCCAGCCGAAGAAAATAAAATACTCATCTGAAGCGTATGTTAGACAAAACATTTTTTATGTCTGTAGGAATTGGGAAGGGTTGGATCGCCTGTCAGATTTTTATTGATTTAAAAGGTAAAAGCACAACAGGGGCCACGGAGCAAATGGTGAAAGAGTCCAGGGAGCATTCAAGCCCAATTCCGTGATAAAATAAGCCCCCCCACTCACATCGCTGGGCTGACAAAAAACACTTGAGGGTCCCCTTTCCCACTCACAAGGTGGTCATGTGATTATCCAGTGCCGGGTATTTCTCTCCTCTGTTTACTTCCTGCTGGAGGTCCTTCATCCGGGTGTCCATGTCACTGCCTGCCTGGCATGGACAATTCCTGTTAGCTGTCCACCGGGGGGTCCTCTCAGGATCTAATAGAAACCCTCCCATTCCCCCTTTCTGGGCTGAAAAACCCCCCAAAAAACTTGGTCCCCTTTCTTAGTGTGGTCACATGACCATCCAGTGCAGTGTCTTTCTCCCCTCTGTTTACTTCCTGCTAGGGGTCCTTCATCCGGGTGTCCATGTCACTGCCTGCGTGATGTGGACAGTGCCTGTTATCTGTCCCCCGGAGGAAGGGTCCTTTCAGGATCAAATTTAAAAAACTCTCCCATCCCCCTCACTGTTTACTGGGCTGAAAAGAAAAACTCGAGGTCCCCCCTTTTTTTTTTTGAGGTTTACTTCCTGCTAGGGGTCCTTTATCCGGGTGTCCATGTCGCTACCTGCTTGATGAGGACAGTTCCCATTAGCTGCCCATTGGAGGGGTCCTCTCAGGATCCAGAGGACCGCTGCTGCCGGCCCGAGGAGAGTCAAGGTGACTTTTTTTTTTTTGTCAGCGTCATTTCACGCCTCCATCTTGTGGGTTGGGTCTGTGGCTGTTGTAAATACGGACACATGACGCACAAATTAGAGCTCATATTGCCTTTTCTGTGCACCCATATTCCCCATGCGCCTCTGGGGTGGGAAAACGCATGAGAGGGATTTATTAAATACTGGGAACAGGCAAAATCTGGAGCAGTTGCCAATGGCAACCCATCAGCTTCTTTCTTCAGTTTGTTCAATTAAGATTTAAAAATGAAAGAGAGAAGCTGATTGGTTGCCATGGGCAATTGCTCCAGGTTTTGTCCGCGAGCAGGCCCCAGTGTGACGCACATTTTTAGAAAGCGTAGAAAAGATGCAGCAAGCGGGATTTTTCATAGACGCAACGGTAACTAGTCTTTAATTGCTCTCGGCGTGTGCGGCGCCTTTGGCGTGAACGGCCCTTGGTGAAGTCTGCCGGTCATTTCCCACCAGTGGTGGATCACGGAGGCCGAGCGATGCAACTGAGGGGGAATTCAGAGTTCTGTATGTGCAATACAGTAGTGGCAATATGGAACAGCATGGAAAGATGCAGACGCATTGACGGTGAACTTCACAAATCCGAATAGGACAATCCGCGCCCGTTTCCCCCTCTCAGGGTGCCCCCGCTTGGCAGGCCTGTTTTTTGTTAGCCCCGTTGCCCCCCGCTGTCACGTTGGGGCCCAGCTGACCGCGATTTCCTCATTCCACCTCTTGTGTAGCTTTTGTTTGATGCACGCAGATAGAAGAATGAAGACTTCATCACATATTCTTCCCTCCCCGGAGCTGGATAGGGGGGGGGAGAGAGATCTCAGGCCCCAGCGAGTCAGATCTCGGTAAACAGACGGCCCGCTGGAGGAAGTCTTCTCTACTTCAAAGGAGGACAGGAAACAGCTGGCGCGTTGAGTCCGCTGCCGGCGTTTCTGAGCAGAAAGCTTGATGGTTAGAGAATCGCGGGCTGAGCGGCGGAACGTGCGGACCACCATTGACTACATGAAAGATGCGTTATGGTCCCCAACCCCTGCAATATGTTTTCTCTATTAGGCCTCATTCACACGAGTAACAGCCGGCCCGTACAGATCCGTGTTGCGTGCACGGCCGTATCGGGCAGCTCCCGGGAAGGACAGGTGCTGCGTATGATTGCGCGCAGCAGCCTGTCCTCTATGGGACTATGTGGCCGTACGCCGCCCTACGCTCACCCGAACTGCGCGTCCCTGCGGGTGTCCCTTCTCGGACGCAGACAGGATCCATCCTGTCAGCGTACGAGTTGGGCGGCGTACGGCCGCATAGTCCCGGGAGCTGCCCGATACGGCCGTGCACGCAACGCGGATCTGTACAGGCCGGCTGTTACTCGTGTGAATGAGGGCTTAAAGGGAAAGGGTAATTCATCAGAATCTGGAGCAGTTGCCCATGGCAACCAATCAGCTTCTCTCTTTCATTTTCAAATCTTAACTTAACAAACTGAAGAGAGAAGCTGATTGGTTCAGACTTTCTTTCCTCTGGTTTTAATCAATCCCCCTCATTGTATTTTGAGCAGTCTAAGGCCCCATTCACACTAAGCATTTGCATTTTGCGCGATATCGCGCAAATGGTTGGATTGAGCAAACTAGAATCGCGGCAAAATCCGCTCCAACAAGGGTCCTGCTGTAGCGACGCACGACAGCGACGGACAGAGCCCCATCCCATGCAGTGGAGAGCGATACCGCGCGGTAAATACCTGCGATATCGTGCGGATTACCGCGCGATAAATCGCTCAATGTGAATGGGGCCTTAAGTCTCCGTTCAAACTTTGGCGTTGTGTGAATGTGCATCACGCTTGCGGTGCAGAAAAATGTGGGACGGTCGCAGCTGAAAACGCTGCAGGAGCTACTTTGCTGCATTCGTCGTGTGTGTGGCAGCCCATTGATTGAATGGACTGATACGTAGCAATGGCGGCAGAAGCGCACAGGAACACGTGTTCACGTGTGTTTCATGCAGCGTAAAGTGTTAATGGGGCCTGAAGGAGCAGTCCACTTTTTAAAAAAGGGGTAGGCAAGCTCCGACCCTCCAGCTGTGGTGCAAGTTAGAATCTCGTGGGCCATTGCAAGCCTAACCCAATGGCATAATGGGATTTGTAGCTTCCACAGCTGTAGGGCTGGAGTTTGCCTACCCCTGTTTTAGACCATGTTAGATGTTGCATTTATATTAAAGGTGCAACATGATGCAGGGTTGCATACGCTATCCCCTTAAACCCAGACTGCTCCCCCTTCCCTTACTTGAATCGTGGGGTGCTTCTTGCTGTAGGTGGCTCTTTTTTTTGTTTTGTAGCTCCACCCACATACCCGTATCATCCATTCACAGTAGAAAAAACTACAGAGCACCAGCAGAAGGGAGATGTCACCTTTCACTTTCCCATGGGAATGAGTTGGGGCCGATTCACACCACAAAGGCTGCGGCCTCTGGAACACAAGCCAGCTGGCTCCCTGCATTCAGGGGGCGGGAGGGGCGTGGCGGTGCATTGAAGTCAATGGCACCGCAGCCACGCCACGCACCTGGAACGCAGGCACATTAGTCTTTGCCTTTCCGCTCCAGTGCGATCTGCAAAAATGCTGCAAGGACTATATTTGCAGATCGCACTGGACCTGCGTTCCGGGTGCCGGCAATTGCACTGCAGGCGGGGGTCGTGGCTGCGGTGCCATTGACTTCAACGCACCACCACGCCGGCTTGCGTTCCAGAGGCCGCAGCCTTTGTGGTGTGAACCGGCCCTTAATGTGAATGTAAAGCTGAACTGTTTACAATGTTGGTCACCAGGTCTTTCCTTAATCCTCCCATTTGCACAGGCTTGGGACAATTTGTACACGCATTCTAGGGCCAGCTGACGTACCAGCATGTCTTTGGAATGTGGGAAGAGTACCCAGAAACCCATGGCAGCAACATGCACCCTTCATTCCAGTAGCATCCTGGCTGGGATTTTGATCCATGGATCCCGGCACTGCATGGCAGAAGTGCTAACCACTAAGCTACTGAGGTTTTTCTACTTGCTGTATACTATAGTAGTTAAAGGAGAACTATGGGGTTAGGGCTTTTCCCCATAGTTCTCCTAAGGGTAACGGGAGGACACAAACTAGCCTCCTCCCGTCACCCAAAGCTCAGTATACGGCGAGCTACAGCTCATTATATACTGAGACGCCGCAGCCAATACGACAATACTGTCTGGATCCACCCAGCTGCGTGAGTGACAGCTGGCTCTGCCTATCCAGGGGCAGAGCCAGCTGTGCCAGCCCCCTCCCCCGTCCGTTTCGCCAGTGAGCGCTGGAGGATCGGACAAGGGATGGGGGGGAATCCCTGCAGGGAGCCGTGAGTGACAGGCATGGCTCTCTGCAGGGACAGGATTGAGAAATGAGCGAGCGCCGGTATGTGTTCGCTCACTTCCCGATCTACTGAGCCGACATGTGACAGTTTCATTGTCACAGGTCGGCTCGGATTATGAGGCTTGAGTGAAAATCGCTCGCTTCCTAATTCTCCTTTTAATGAATGAAGTCACTCCGATTCTGACCCTCCGATGATGAAGTGCAGCGCCGTCTCCGGTCTCTTCCGCCTCTTTTGCTGATTTATTCTTTTTTCCATTTTCCTCTGCAGAGCTGTACTATGACCGAGGGAACCACCACGAGTTTGTGTCCTTGGTAAAAGATTTAGCTCGACCCGGAGAACTCACCCAGTCCCAGAGCTTCGACTTTGAGTTTACCCACGTGGAGAAGCCGTACGAATCGTACACGGGTCAGAACGTGAAGCTGAGGTAGGGATCGGATGTGGCAGTCCCGTTTCAGTGTCCGATTATAGCAGAGCACCGTCGGCTCCTTTCTAATAGCATACGTAGGGCTTTGTCCTGAAAATGACTTTATCTGATTTATTTGATGCCAGGGGGCAGGAGGAACATTTGTATGCAGCGCATGTTCCAGTGCAGTGTCGGTAAGCATGTGCGTACGAATGCAGAAAAGGGGACAGGTGGTAAAAGCTGCAGAAAAAGGGGCGTCTTCAGCATCGCTTAACCCGGTGGTTCTTAACCTTTCTAGGGCCGGGACCCCTTGGTAACATTTGCCAAGTTGTGGTGACCCCCAACGGTAAAATTTAGGAATGACGCGGTTGCTTCAGCGACATCTGGCGGCATGGCGGGAGAACTGACACTGCTGCGCTGGGAGAGGGCTGAGGAGGACTCTCACCTAGCACAGGTTGAGAACCACTGGCGTACGCCATCAGAATAAAAATAAAAAAACACCATAGTAATGCATAGCTAGATTCCTATTGGCTATTTCACTTTGCAATAGCCAATAGCAAACAAGCTATTGCACCCGCCCTCTGCTGCTGTCAAGAGGACCTGATAGAGAACTGCATGTCCCCCTCTGCTGATTGACAGCAGCAGAGGGCGGGTGCAATAGCTTGTTTGCTATTGGCTATTGCAAAGTGAAATAGCCAATAGGAATCTAGCTGTGCATTCCTATGGTGGGGTTTTTTTTCTGACTTACGGTGGCCAGCGGCCCCCGATGTCAGAAAAAAAAACAAAAAACGATCGCAGGGAAAGGTTTACTCTGCTTTACACTTTCCAGGAGAAAGTGGTTCTTTCCCGGGCGGCCAGGAGACGCTATCTAATAGTGGGAGACTCCCGGGCGACCCCTGGCAAATCGTGATTCGACCCCCGAGGGGGTCGCGACCCACAGGTTGAGAACCGCTGGCTTAAACCCTTCCCTCCCCCAGCCATATCACAGACCTCATATGCACTATTGCTTTGCTCTCGGAGCACACTCAATTTTGCCCCCCAGAACTGTGGCCACCATATCACCAATAGTTCCCGATCATACAGTGACAATCAGGAAGTCGGTAGGATGGGCTCCCGATCACATGATCGCTGTGGAAGCCAATCACATGAACGGGAAGCGTTTTTTGAAACTCAGATTTGCATTGTTTCCTGTGTCTCCGCTGTCCCAGAGATGCAACAGGAAGTGTTATACAGAAATTCCCCTCTTAGATAGTTGTCACTGGAACAGGTGTCCCCGGTGTAGATTTTCCCTCATCTCCTTGTTCTGGTGACGACTGTAAAAGATTATTTCTAAGGCTAGGTTCACACCAGATGCAGTGCGTTCCGGCCCGATTCTGGCCAGAACGCACCGCATTGCGGCCGGCTCACATTGTGCCTGGGGTGCGATCAAAACTTATTTTGATCGCACCGGACCGCAGGCATGATGTGTCCTGCGATCCTGCGCAGCCGTTTGCATTAAGGCCGGAGGGCGTGGCTACGCTGCCATTCACTTCAATGGCTCGCCACGCCCCCTCCTGCCCCACAAAAAAGTGAGCCGGCCGCGATGCAGTGCGTTCGGGCCAGAATCGTGCCGGAACGCACTGCATCTGGTGTGAACCTAGCCTAAGACTTAAGCGGAAGGGAATTTGAACTGTTGGGGGCCTCGATGATTCTATTACAGGCATGCAGAGAAAGGTGAAAGTGCAACTGAAGCCAAAACATTTTTTTAGTTGTGGGTAGAGTGGAGAGGGATTAGAACAACTGCTAGTTTTTTATCATTGTCTGTGTCCCTCTCCATTTGTTCTGATGATTTGTTATCACTGAAAGCGCAAGAATATCCCAAATTTTGGGTTGTCACCACAACCGGAATACATGTGAAATCTTCCAATGGGGATGCTAGTTCTGGTGACCCTGCTGACCACCAGGGATTTCCCTCACTTTGGAAGGATTTCTACTCGCTTCCTGTTGCTATCGGACAGGAAGTAAAGGGAAATCTCCTCAATGGAGACACAGATGGAAAAATTATCCCTGACTGGTTATAACCCTCCCTTTACTCTATCCAAAAGCTTTGGCTGCAGTACTGCTTAAAGGAGAACTATGGGGTCAGTGTTTTTCCCCATAGTTCTCCTTAGGGTAACGGGAGGACATAAACTAGCGTCCTCCCGTCACCCTAAGCTCAGTATATAGGGAGATACAGCTTGCAGTATACAGAGACGCCGCAGCTGAAGCGGATCCCGACATCGATGTCGAGATCCGCCCAGCTGCGTGACTGACAGCTGGCTCTGCCTATCTAGAGGCAGAGCCAGCTGTACCCGCCCCCTCCCCCGTCCGTTCCGCCAGTCAGCGCTGGAGGATCGGAGGGGGGATGGGGGAATCCAGCCCCTCCCCTGTCACAACAGAGAGCCGTGACAGGCTCTAGAGGTGAGCGAACGCCGGTATGTGTTCGCTCACCTCCCGATCTACTGAGCCGACCTGTGACAGTCTCATTGTCACAGGTCGGCTAGAACTATGAGGTGAGTGAAAAGCACTCACCTCATAGTTCTCCTTTAACCTCCCTGGCGGTCTGATTTATTTAATTTTTTTTCTTCCTTTTTTTTGTTCTATTTTTTTCCCCGTTATTTTTACTTTTAAAATTCCCGTTGGTTCCGCCCCCTTGCGACACGGACGCTCGCAAGGGACGGAAGACGGATGCCGGCATCGGCCGGAGGACACAGCGTGGCTCGAGGGACAAGGTAAGTAACGCTACGCTGTAACCCTGAGTGTGGCTAAGGGTTACCACTTATGGTGCTGAAAATTAACCCCGAGCCACACTCGGGAATACCGCCATGGAGGTTAAAGGTACAAATTTAATTTGTGCATGTAGCAGGCTGGCGGGAGTTCCGCTTTGATGTAGAATAATGGATTGTAATGAATCATTTGCTGTCTTCCAGGTATTTCTTGCGTGCCACCCTCAGCCGTCGCTTGAATGACATCGGGAAGGAAATGGACCTCGTGGTCCACACGTTAAGTACCTACCCGGAGCTCAATTCCTCCATCAAGATGGAAGTGGGCATTGAGGATTGCCTGCACATTGAATTTGAATACAACAAGTCCAAGTATGTCCATTGGTTGTAGAAACAAACTTGTATATGCAGTTATAGGGCCAGTCCTCCAGGAGCTGATGTTTTAGTTGGGGATGGGGGCTATTGTCCCTCAGGGAGCCCTGAAATAAGATCTGCCCAACATGATCACACAAGGTTAGGTCAGGTCTTTTAATATGACGCTTCCAACAAATGTTAACCTTAGTAATTGGAAGATGTTAAAGATCCCATCCTCCCTCATTGACAGGAGTGTTTGTTGCAGTGCTACAAGTCAGGTGCTCTTTAGACCGCTGTAAATATTCCCACTTTTTCTCCAGATATCACCTCAAAGATGTCATCGTTGGCAAAATCTACTTCCTGCTGGTGCGGATCAAGATTAAGCACATGGAGATCGACATCATTAAAAGAGAGACAACGGGCACCGGGCCCAATGTTTACCACGAGAATGACACCATCGCCAAGTACGAGATCATGGACGGAGCACCCGTGAGAGGTCAGGAGCTGGTGGTCAGCAGGAGGGGTTCACAGGGAGCCAATTACTTGAGTTGTCAAAGAGAAGCAGCCATGAAGGTCATTAGGGACACCACACATGCTGCCTAGTTCTTGCTGATGCATTGGTCATGTGGTCTCTTTAATGCTGGGCACAACCCTTACAACCATCGCAAGACTTTTGTCTTGTGATGGTTGTAAGGTAATTAAGAAAACGTACGATCTGCCCATCTTGGACAGGCAGATCGTACTTTCGATGATCGCAAGCCGTGCCCCCCTGAGGGGCGGGCTTCCGATGACCGCAATGCCGAACGGGCAGTTTTTTTTTAATCTTGCGAACATGCTGCACACCCGCCGAACATCGTAGCATGCTCGGCGGGTTTTCGAACATGTTCGTAAGTTAAGTCGCGCGACCTTACAGTAGTAGAGGTAGCACGGCTTCCACACACACACACACACACACACACACACACACACACACACACACACACACACACACACACACACACACACACACACACACACACA